CAGAACTTCTCTCTCTCTCTCTCTCTCTCTCTCTCTCTCTCTCTCTCTCTCTCTCTCTCTCTCGATGGCAGGCAGTCCCTTGTTTATAGTGTCATCTGTTATTGACTTTTTGAAATGTCATTAAGTTGTTCCATTTTGCTTTCAGAAGTCTGTGACATGGAGATAGTAAATATTTATAGCATCAATTTCAAGTAAGTCAAATTGTGGTCTGAGCAATGAAGTTCGAGCTCCCTTGGGTAAACAGCGATGGACCAGACCTCCAGGCTCTGACTCCTCCAGCATGCGTCTAGGAAGGAGGAAATGCCACAGCCATGCCTTTCTGACTTCCCACTCTGATAACAGGGGGAGGAAGCGGAGAAGGCCAGGATCAATGTAGAGGCTAACGACACCATAGAAGCAGAGGAGGCCAATGGTAAAAAAGTAGGAAGTCAAGAAGGAAACAGGTGGAGTTTGCATGGACACTTCCTGTTCACAAACTTTTTGCGTTCCCCATTTCATTAACGGCAGCAGTGGAATTTCATGGACAATTGGCGCTGAGCACTAACTGGGAGGTAATGAAAGAGGGGGTGCAGGTAAAGGCTGTTGGAATTTAAATTCTTTTTCTTCAGGGTGGGGATGGGATGGCAGATTTTTTTTTTAAAGGCAATTTTAGTCCTGGAATAGGTTTCTAGAAAACAGCTTCGGACTTTCATGGCCTGTGCTGGAAGCACCAGGCTGTATGATGTCTCTAAGCCTTGCTGTGTCGTTCTGCCCACTGGCCATCTGAGGACCACCCTCAGTGATGGATAGAGATGCAGAAGCCCAGGGAATGGGATGTCTGGCCTTGGGTAGATTTTTTTTTCCCTCTGACTTGGGAAAGCACATCAGACACTTGTCCGTCAAGCAGTGAGCTAGAATGAAATGTTTTGTGATTATTACTCCAGAATGCCCACATGTAGAACTCTAAGGACCTGAGCTAGGTGTAGGGGGAAGCAGAAAGAGCAAACCGAAAACCGGAAGCCCGCACTCACACCAAAGACTCCAGCCAGAAATCCTCTGTTGGTAGCAGGCAAGTCTCAAATTTATTTTCGTCATCTATTATGTACTTTTCAAGATGCCATTGAGCTATTGGCTTGATTTTGCCCTCATAAGTCTATGATATAGAGAGAGTAAATATTAACAGCCCCTGTTTTAAATAAGGCAAACTGAAGTGAAGTCTGAGGTTTCCTAAATGAACAGGGATAGAACCAGGCACAGTGTCAGGGGCTGGAAGCATGTGGCCTATTGGATAATCTCTCTCTGACTGTCTGACTGACTGTCTGTCTGTCTGTCTGTCTATCATCTGTTTTTCCCTCTTTCTCCTCATATACACTCATGCGTTAAAGAGGCTACCAAATATTTAAGGGGAGGATATAAGGCAACATGAGACCAAAGACAGAATTGAGGAGATAGAGCCATGTATTGATGACCCTGGGGGATTTAAGCTGGTTTGAGCAGGGCTTAAGCCAAGTTGACTTGGCTTACCATATAGACTGTTGAAGCATAATATATCAAACGACATATTCTGGGTGTGGTAGCACAATATATGCAATCTTAGCACTTGGAAGGTAGAGGCTAGAGTATCAGGGGTTCAAGGTTAGCCTGGACTATAAGAGACCCGGCTTCAAAAATCTAAAAACAAACTATTTTTGCTTAAACCCAAGTGTGTGCAGTTGCTGATGGTTCAGAGAGGGTGAAAGATTGCTTGCTGCTGCATGCTCTATTCTATTTATACATCTTTATTATGGACATATATGTTTACTGGTTTAGTCACTAGCAAATAAGATGCTTGTGTCTGTAGTCACTGAAAAGAAACAATAGCCTCCTGCAGGCGTTTTTTTTTTTTTAAAACCTACCCACCCCTTCCTTTTCAAACCCTCTCCACTGTTCAGCTTTCCCTACATGTGGTGACTCCATATAAAGTGAGACCAGCAGTCTCCATTGTCACATCCTGCTCCACAGTGCCCAGAGAGAGCATAAGGTGACAGTATAGAGCCCCAGCACGGCAAGGTAGATTCGGAAGAGCAGCTGATCAAAGTGGTACAGGATGGCGAGCCATTCCACCTCCCTCTGGTAAACCTGATCCCGAGTTCGGAGAGACTTGTTGATGGTTTGGAGCTGGAACCAGAAATTCTTCAGAGTATCTGATGGGATCTGGTGTTCCTGACCGACCGGGGACTCTGTGTGATAGAGGGAAACACTTTGAATGAACCAGAAGCTACTTGCTCTTATTCTTTAAGGAAAAGTCATTGCTGGAGTTGGGGACTCTCACGCTGCCTGGTTAGAACAGGCACAGCTTTGCTGAGGGAACACCCAGGAAACATGGCAGAGATGCACTGTGTCAAGGTGTGTGTGGAGGAGGCTGCATCTATCTAGGAGATTTCCTGAGCTAGGGTGATTCTTAAAGTTCTTTATATAAAGCAACCAGAACGCAATTCTTCATATTTATCCCCACCTTTGTGTGGTGTGTGTGTGTGTGTGTGTGTGTGTGTGTGTGTGTGTGTGTGCTTATATACCAGAATTCATGAACTTTTGGGTTCATGCCTCTTGTGGAAATGAAACAAACTAAAGGTAATGAAAGACCTGACTTTCAAACTAAAATAATCTCCAGCAGGAGGCAGTCTTCAGTTCGAAGAAGAAATCTCACAGAATAGGAGCTTTAAAGCACATGTTTTCCATCATTCACTCAGTCCAGGCATGGTCTGATGCTTCCCCAGTAGAACCAGGTTCTTAGCATAACAAAGCAAGCAGCCAGCCAAGTACTGGATGGGGGTACCAGGGCTACTCACAAACCTGTGGCCTCAGCACTTGGAGCCCTGAGGTACGATCTAGACTCATTGGCATCGGAGTCCCCTCGAAGGCACATAAGAGGCTGTTCTTGCCCACTGTGCCACTCCTCATAGAGGAATTTGATCAACAAGATGGATTTGGACAAACTGAGAACCAGGAGGGCCATGCAGACGGTAAAGAAGACCCCTGTGGAAGGACCAGAGCAGAGAAAAGGGAGTAAGCGGTAGTCTTCCATCTGACATGCAGATCTTGGCCAGGAATGGTCTAGGAGGGTGTCAGGTGACATTGGGGCTGCTTACCAATCAGAGACGTGCACCCTGCGCTTCTTGGCACCTCATCAGACATGTTGACCTTGAAGACTGTATAGCCCACCAGCACATTGGTCTTGAACACAATTCTTGCACGGCAGTTGGGGGGCAAGTAGAAACTTCCCAGGTCTACGAGCATCAGGAAGATGCTAGGAATCAAGAGGCTCACGACATAGGCCAACGGACATCTTCGAATCACTACCTGGCAGGGAACAAGGGAACTTTCCAGTCTAAGTAGAAGACCTAACACTTGACTGAGCACATGGCACTTAAGCCCCACCCCTCGTGCATGATGAAAAATGACTATGTGGTTTATGGTAGGAAACCAGCCAGGTGTGCTGGTAAATGCCTATAATCTCAGAATTTATGGAGCTGAAGCAGGAGAATTGCTACTTGTTGAAAGCCAGCCTGGACTACATTACAAGACACACACACACACCTCTCTCTCTCTCTCTCTCTCTCTCTCTCTCTCTCTCTCTCTCTCTCACACACACACACACACACACACACACACACGGCTATTTTGTGGTTCAAAAAGATAGAAAGGTAAATTTTCAATAGACCTAACAATGCTGTTGTGTGTGCATATGTGCACAGATACATGTCCATGCAGACACATGCAGAAACCAGAGCAGGGTGTCGGGTGCCCTCCTTTATCATTCTTTGTGTCATTGCCTGAAACAGGGTATCTCAGTAAACTAGAAGTTCAGTACTTGGCTAGCTAGCTTGTGAGTTCTCTGGCCCATCTCTGTCCCCCAGTGCTGGGGTTATAATTGGGGGTGTAGCTCAGTTGATAAAGTGCCTTCTAACATGTATAAAGCCCTGGGTTCTATCCCAGTACAGCATAAACTGGAAATGTTGGTACACACCTGTTATCCAAGCATTTGGGAGGTAGAGGCAAGAGAATCAAGGTCCCATCTCTGAGGTGATGATTTCCCTCAGGGCTGTTAATAATCCATCTCCTGAATAAAGCCTGATGGAGCAGACCAGCATCCTCACTCATCCCTTAGCTCTTGAATTTGGACCAACATTCTTTTTTTAAAAGATGTATTTGTTTACTTTATGTATATGAGCACATTGTTCCTGTTTTCAGACACACCAGAAGAGGGCGTCCTACCCCATTACAGATGGTTGTGAGCCACCATGTGGTTGCTGGGAATTGAACTCAGGACCTCTGGAAGAGTAGACAGCGCTCTTAACTGCTGAGCCATCTCTCTAGCTCTGGACCAGCATTCTTAACAGCTCCAATTTCTTAGGTTTGCCAGACAATGGGACACTTGACTGCTTTCTATGTGTTAGATCATGTGCTGGATGCTTTTACATCTGTTATATTGTTTTCTTTTCATTTACAACATGTAGGGTAGATAACACCCTCCATCTCATAGATTTTTGAAGCACTGCATCCGTAAGTAAGTTGAGTCAGTGGCCGAGCTGTGATGTAACCCCACGTCTTCTGATTCCTAGTGCTACTTGTCAGCTACAGCCTAGCTACAAATCAGGCTCTGCCCAGCTATTGGAGAGGAGACAGGACTGCTCTGGGAAAAAAAATACAAAGAAATGAGCATAAACACAGAGGAGGTAGAGAGCCTGGTGATGGGTGGCAGGTTGTCTAGGGGAGTCCACCACACACCTTGTTGATGAGAGCTGAGGCTCTCTTGCCATCAGATCCGGGAACATGTCCCGATTCAGTGGAGCTTGGCAGGCCAGAGCTGTTTGGTGGATTGTAGTCTGGCTGTTGTCTTCCACATTAAACATAATTGGCTGCAAATATCTATACCAGTGCAACACACATTGCTTTGCAATAGTTTGGTTGAAACACATTTCTATCAAAGTGCAGTCAACAAGAAAAAAGCCCACAATGAGCCATCATCATCCTGCATCTCTGTTGACTGTGATGAGGTAGCTATGAGACACAGTGGCGGGAGGAAGAGCACTGAGTGGCCAGAGACCCAGAGGGCTTTCTGTTGTGGTCCAACTTGGGATGCTGGTGATCTGGCCTCTTAGAGTGTGGGATGGAGGGATCATACCTGCTTGGGTGGAGGGAAGAAGTGGGATCACCCTGGAAGACTTCATAGCAGAGATTGCATGAGGTGGGAGAGAAATCTATGAATGTCACCCTGAAGACGAGGACAAGGCATGTTGCATAAGTGGGAAGGACCCAGATCAGTAGTCAAGGAAACAGAGTCTATGTGTGGAAACCTGTATAATCCTGTATGCAACAGTCAGCCTCTCCCTGACTCAATTTCTTCTTACTTTTTTTTTTGGTTTTTTCGAGACAGGGTTTCTCTGTGTAGCCCTGGCTGTCCTGGAACTCACTCTGTAGACCAGGCTGGCCTCGAACTCAGAAATCTGCCTGCCTCTGCCTCCCAAGTGCTAGGATTAAAGGCGTGTGCCACCACCGCCCAGCTCTTCTTACTTTCTTGTGTATATGTGTATGTATGTATGTGTGTATGTATGTATGTGTGTATGTATGTATGTATGTATGTATGTATGTGGGGGGGTATGTGTGTACACATGAACATGTGCACATGTCAGAAAGCAACTTTAGGTGTTATTCCCAAGGAACCATTTGTCATTGGCTTGAAACTTACTAAGTAGACCAAGCTAATTATCTAGGGAGCCCCAGGGATCTGCCTGTCTCCACCTCCCTAGTGCTGGGATTACAAGCACACACGGCCATGAGCTGCTGAGCTTTACATGTTCTGGGAATTGAACTCAGGTACTCTTGTTTACAAGTCCAGCAGTATACCAACTGGACTATTTCCTCAGCCCCTCCCCCTTCCTTTTAAAGAAACAAGATGGTTTTGCCTTGCCAAACATCTCAAGTACAATTGAACTGCTGTCCTTCTAAATCAAGTTCTTATGTAATTAGCACAGGTAAAGATGATTCCCCTCCACCCAGATGCAGACAGAAAACATAAATCTAGGCTAAAACCAAAGGCGAGTGAGTGATGTGGTTCCTTGAAGACCAAAGGTCTTTATCAGTCCAAAGGTCCCCAAGTGTCCAGGTGGAGGGAGGTCTGAGAAGACTTATGAAATTCGTGGGCTTTTGACCTGTACATATACACATGGTCCTGAACTTGGAAGGATCTTTGCTAGGTCTCAGTAGAAACTGAAAGTAGAAAGATATAGGTATCCCATTAGGTAATTAGTTTCTGCTGTGGCATAAAACAAAGAAATTTTCCTATTTCCATCTATCTTACAAAACTGGAAAGCTGACTATGCCTTCTAGAAGATTCCAATCTATTCTGTCCTTAGCAAGGATGCAAACACTTCTAAGATAAACCAAATAGCACCACAGTTTGGGGTTTCTTCTAAAACAAAGGACCTACTTTGCTGTTTGTTTTAGAGTCAATGCCTCCTAAGGATTAAGTTAATGCTCCCCTATTAGCTGGTACAGCCTTTAAAAATGAAGTAAAGAACAAACCAAACCTCTAATTTTATTGTTGTTTTCTGAAATTTGTATTGTTACCTCAACCGATCTTCAGCTTTTCCTTTGTTCAGCAAACATGGAGCATGAAGAGACTGCTGACAAGCTACTGTAAATACTGGAGACTTAGTGCCATGAGAGGGACCAGTCTCTGTCCTTGCCTGGTCCTCTGTAAATACTGGAGACTTAGTGCCTTAATATAACCAGTCCCTGCCCTTGCCTGGTCTTCTGAGTTCAGGTGCCAGACTTTGGTGGCTGGTGAGTCTGTAGGCAGAAAAGAACCTTGTTCCAGAATGAACCAAAACCAGAGTCCCTCTCTCATTTGCATGATGACAAATGAAGACTTTTTCCTAAGTTTAGGTGCTATTTTATGCAGTGCTAGAGACTGAGCCTAGGGCTTCCTGCATGCTAGACAAATACCCTACAAATTGAGCTGTACCTCCTTAGGCAGATTTTGATGTCTATGTTAGACACCAAGAGCCTAAACCTTTCTTATTCCTCTCTAAACCTTCTATGCCTGCCATTGTCCTAGTTAGCTTTAACTGACAATTTGATACAGTCCAGAGTTATCTGGGAGAAAAATCTTGACTGAGGAACTGCCTAGACCAGATTGGTCTATGGCTCTGTCTTTGGGAGATTGTTTTGATTATTACTTGATGCAGAAAGGCCCTGCCCATTATGGGCTGCCCCATCCCTAGGCAGGTAGTCCTGGGCTGTATAAGAAGTCTAGCCAAGCATGAGCCTAGGAATGAGCAAGCCGTAGTAGTACAAGCACTGTTCTCTAGGGTTTCTGCTTTAGGTTCCTGCCTTGCATTCCTACCCTGACTTCCTTTGATGATAGAATGTAACCTGGAAACATGAGCCAAATACACTCTTTCTACCCCAAGTAGCTTTCGGTCACAGTAATTTACCCCAGCAACAGAGATCAAATTCCAACAATCATTGAGCCTGAGAAGACAGATGTTCACTGAACTACATCAGAGTTTGTTACTGATGCTACTTTTAGTTCCAATAGAGTAGGGTGTGACATTAGCTCAAATGGGGCCATTCCACTGGGGTCGGTCTTCATACGGACCTCCTCTCAGAAATCACATAAGAGCCATCGACTCCTGCTTCTGTGAGGGGAATGTGCCACCTGCTCAGAAGGACACGATTCTCTGTAAGCCTGCCCTACCTAGAGCTCATAACTCCTAACGGACTAAAGGAACTGGTGCCTTTAAATCCCACAGAAAAGGAAGCAAAAACACTTTAGTTTCAGCCCGTGTTCTCCATTAGACACCCTTCAGGTGTTAGCAATATTATGCCACAATTTCATTATCCATTAAAGCCAGGTAATAATAAGTACACAAAGGTATTTGGAGCCTATTGATGTTAATGAAAGAGATGAATCTAATTCAGAATGTGTGTGAGGAGAGCTCCTTGGAGATGGGAGAGGCCCCAAGGTTAGCCTCTAACTGCCTCCTTGATGGTAGACCCCACCAGTACTCAATTTTGCATGACCGTCTTTATGACGTACTTGGAATTTTGACGCCCAGACTCCCGCTTCATACAGAAGCCCATTTTCCTCCCCTTCCAAGTCCTTCCTAATACCCCCAGTTTGGAAAGAATGGGAAAGTTGCTGCCATTTAAGTGAGAGTCTTGCACCTGAGTGAGGGCTTTGGGGATGTAGACTGTGGGTTGGGCCAGGTTAAGTGAAAGTTTGTGATTCTCATATTGGTTGAGCACCCCTAGGAAGATTCTAGAGCTTAAGATTCCTCCCCCACCTCTTTCCTCCCACCTCCTCCTTGGAAGGCCAGCCTG